CTCTGATAATCCTTCTGCAGAGGCGCCATCATCAAATTTGACATGAATGGATTCTTCAACTTGTATGGTTTTCTTGTTAAGTATTCTATAGGCTTTGCTTGAGCTTGAATAGCCTAAGAATACACCTTCGTCAGCTTTTTCTTGAAATACTTTCAGATTCTCCTTTCCATTGTTTAGAATATAGCACTTGCATCCAAACACATGGAAGTAGCTGATGTTTGGCTTTCTTCCTTTCCACAGCTCATAGGGTGTCTTCTGATGGTTCTTGTGGATCATGCTTCTATTCTGAGTGTAGCATGCAGTGTTGATTGCTTCAGCCCAGTATCTGATGGGCAAACCTGATTCAGCAATCATGGTCCTTGCGGCTTCTTTCAGTGTTCTGTTCCTTCTTTCAGCAACACCATTTTGTTGGGGTGTTCTGGCAGCAGAAAGTTGATGGAAGGTGCCATTCTGATCACAGAAGTCCTTGATCACTTTGTTGACAAATTCAGTTCCTCTGTCAGATCTGATTGTTCTGACCTTCATATTCTTCTCAGTCTGAAGTTACTTTAACAGAGATGGCAACTTCTGAAGAGTTTCATTTTTCTTTGCTAGGAACACAGTCCATGTATATCTTGAGTAGTCATCAACCATAACAAGAGTATATCTTTTTCCACCAACACTGGGAGTTTCAACTGGTCCAAATAAATCCATGTGGATCAGATTTAGAGGACAAGTAGAAAGATCTCCAGCTATGGGTTTGAATGAGGTCTTCACTTGTTTGCCCTTCTGACAAGCACTGCAGAGGGTCTCCTTTTTGTAAACAATGTCAGGCAGACCATCTACAATGTGTTCCCTTGCCAGTTTGTTGATAGTTTTGAAATTCAGGTGGCTAAGCTTCTTGTGCCAGTCTCAGCTTAGCTTTGAATTGTCTTTAGCTATCAGGCAGGTTCCATCTTTTGCTGTTTGCCAGTCAACAACATAGATGTTCTTCCTTCTTTTGGCTGTAAGAACCACTTCTTTGGTTGTCTCATGCTTGACATAGCATAAGATCTTGGTGAATTCAACTGTGTAGCCTTTGTCACAGAATTGGCTAGCACTTAGGAGGTTGAACTTCAGACCTTTGACATATGAGACATCTTCAATGATTATCTGGTTCTTGATCAGCTTCCCTCTTCCTTTTGTTTGCCCTTCCTTGTCATTTCCACCGAAAGTGACTCTGGGTCCATTGTATTTCTGGAACTCTGATAGGCAACTCTTGTCACCTGTCATGTGCCTGGAGCATCCACTGTCAATATACCATTCTTGTTCTGAGATGGCTCCAGCACACAGTTCCTGCAAGATTAAAAGAAAGATTTAGGTACCCAAGCAATGTTGGGTCCTGGGGGGGTAATGCAGTTTTGGTAGTTGGTACCATTTTGGTCTCATCAACTGAAACCTTGGTGGATGGTACTCATTGTCCACCTGGTAGTCGTAGTAAACAGATGTATGATTCACTTTGGGCAGATGCTTGTGAGGATCATGCTTTCTGTTTGCATACTTCTGCATAGCCTTCTTGGTTGGAAAGAAGTCCCATATGCTATCAAGATCAGAGGAGCGCTTAACTTTAGGCTTCTGAGGTTGACCAGACAACCTCTTCTGCCTATAGTTAATCTTCTCTTGATATCTGCCTTTCTGATAGCAGTTTCTGATACTGTTGTCATGAGATTGTCTGATAGGGTTAGGCCTTTGATTATTATTTTTCTGAAAACTTTTCCTTTTGTTAGAGTTTCTGCCAGGTTCATTAGTTTTCAAACTTTGTCTTTGTTTGGCCTTTAAAGTTTGTTTCTCTGGTATGACCTTCTCATGAACAACTTTAGTACCAGAAGTACTAGCATGACAATTGGGGCTCAGAGTCTGTGGCACTATGACCTTTTTAGCCTTAGCAACTTTGGTGCTAGGCCTTACAGAAGGCTCACCAGACTCTAGTTCAACATATCCAAGACCAGAGGTGAAGTTATGAGAGTCACCAATATTCTTCATGGAAGATTGCATCTTCAGAAGACTATTGTATCTATTCTCAAGTTCCTCAATGTCTCTTATTCTTTTAAGAAGAGACTCATTTTCAGCCTTCAGTCTATCTCTTTCCTCAGTTAAGAGATTAAGTTTGCACTCAGTCTCTTTCCTTAGATCAGAGATATCAACTTTCAGCCTACTGTTCTCATCTTTAACAGAAGAATAAGTGGCTTGGATAGTTTGGAACTCTTCCCAAAATGATGACATTGGATCATCATTTAAGGCTGTGCCTACCGAAGAAGAAATAGAATTAGTTGTAGAGCATACCTCATCATCTGATTGTGCCATGAGGCAAAGGTCTTCAGTTTCTGCATCCAAGCAGCAGAATGCTTCATCAGAGTCGGAGTCTGAGCTGGACTCTGATTCAGAGAGTGGATCTCTCTCAGCTTGCTCTGAGACGAATGCTCTTCTTCTTCTGTGTTGATCTTCTGGTTTCTTTTCTTCTTCATGTCCTTGCTTCTTGGACACTCTTGGATAGGGGCAGTTTGCTTTGAAGTGCCCAGGTTGTCTGTAGTTGTAGCAGAGGTACTCTCCATTGCTCTCAGAAGATTTGGTCTTCTGATTAGGTCTTCTGATGGAAGATGGACTCCTTCCATCTTTCTTCATAAACTTCTTAAACTTCCTGGCAAAAGCAGCCATATACTCATCAGATAAAAGATTAGAGGGGTCAAAGTTACTTACCTTTGAGGTGCTGGCAGTGAGAGCAGTGGTGGTCCTTTCATCAGGAGCTTCCTCCTTCTCTTCATGCATCTCAAACTCATAAGCCTTGAGATCAGAAATGAGTTTCTCAGTGGCATAGGTCTTGATATTCTTGCTTTCCTGGACAGCAATCACCTTCATCTTCCAAGCTGAAGGCAGTCCCCTGAGAATCTTCATGTTGACCTCTTTGATGGTGAGCTCCTTCCCAAGCTCAGAAATTTCACTGATGAGAATTAGCAGTCTCTCATGCATCTTAGCAATGCATTCTTCTGGCAGAAGTTTGAAGTCATCAAACTTCTTCATTGCAATGGTCAACTTGTTATCTCTTTCTTGCTCGTCTCCTGCTCCAATCTCATCTAGCTTGTCCCAGATTTCTTTGGCAGTTTTGCACTTCTTGATTCTGTTGAAGTATCTTTCATCAATAGCCTTGTAAAGAATGTCCTTGGCTATATTATCTAGATTGTACTGCCTCTTCTCTTCCTTGGTCCATTCTGACCGGGCTTTCTCAATCATCTGGGGCTGAGAGTTATCAATAGAGTGAGCAGGATTGATCTTCATGAACTGGATAAAGGGTCCATTTTCCAAGACTTCCCACATTTCATCATGAAGAGCACACAGATGTGCCTTCATTCTGATCTTCCAATCATCATATTTCTGATCTGTGAACATAAGATGCTTTGCAAGAGAATTGTCCATTATAATAAATAAAGAGGCTAAGAACAAGTGGATCTTTGTTCAGAGAGTAACCTAAAAGATTACAAGAACAAGGAGGCTCTGATACCACTTGTTGGTCCCGTTTAATATGGTAATCAGTCTAGAGGGGGGGTGAATAGACTGATTAGTTTTTCAAATTTTCTCTAAGTCCAAAATGACTTATCAGAGAATGTCTGATTCTGGTGACAGAGAAAGGCTGGTTCTGATAACAGAACTGGCCTTGGCAGCGGATTCTGATCTGTCCGGGTAGCCTCAGAAACACTAAGGCAAATGCCTTTCTGATAACTCTGAAAACAAGATCTGCTGAACACAGATTCCAAGTCTTAGAGTTAACAGTTAATATCCTAAGTGCAGAAATATAAATTGCAGTAAAGTAAATGACACCGGATATTTTTATAGTGGTTCAAGGAACAACGCGTTCCTCTAGTCCACTGTTCCACTAGCTTTGAAGTAGATCGGTTACAAAGCTTAGTCCCTAGCACTTAAGAAGTTCTCCACGCCTTCTTCAAGTCTAGTTGTCACCCGGGATGCAATCCTGCTTCCTGATGACTGGTCCTTTCACTCAGCTTCCCGGAAGTATCACCACTTCACTACCGCAGTTACTTGGACGCCCTTCTTTGCAGAAGATGTTCTGAAAACAGAGTTTTCTCCAACTTGCTTCGTTACAAGAGATATGTAGTTGAAGTTCTTGAAGTGTTGAAGAAACAGGATGAACTTTGCTGTGTGTTGGGGTTTGAGGTTATGGATATTAGAGTCTTCCCAACGTAAGCTTGTCTTGTTGAAGATTGTGGAATTTGAATCTCAAGAGAGCTTGAAAATGTGATGAGCAAAAGTTGTAGCAAAGTTGTGTCCCTGTTCTTCGGTGAGTAGCTTATATACTGAGGTTGTCTGCCCGTTGGAGGAGGAGACAACTGCATTAAATGCGCGTACTGTTGACTTGACCGCCGTTTTGGAAGGTTTCTATTTTTATAATATATCTTCCCGGATCCTTTGGTCAATCATTTGCAATCAATCCAAAGCGTATCAGGCTCATTTAATGTGCATTAAATGCTTTCCTTTCATGCACAGTCTTCTAGCCGTTGGATGTTTTTACCCGTTGGATTCATAGCTGTTGGATGTTGCTTGAAATCTTCTAAGTGTTAGTCGGGCTCTGATCAGGCTCTTCTGATGTGTTGGATTCTGATGGCTTCCTGAGTTCTGATGGCTTTCTGATCTCTGACTGAACTCTAACTCTGACTCTGATAGGTCCGCTGATGAGTACCTCTGATCTGTAACTCTCATTGGTTATCAGATGTCCAAGCTTATCAGCAACTCTCATGGTGCAACTCTGATGGACTTCTGATAAGGGAACTCTGATGGAGCAGTTCTCACAGAGCAAGTCTGGTCGAGCAGTTCTGATGCACTTCTGATTTGATCCAAAACAGAGCAACTCTGATCGTCGACTATACTAATACTTACAATTGAAAATTCTAATACATAAAATCTAATTGGGGGTACTCTAACTTTCTAATCCTATAGCATCATCAAAATCTAATTACATTTATTCCTTACACCTTGGATTTGTAGCACGAAACTCTGTTTGATGATACCTTGTCTTGAAGTAAGGTGTGAGATACCCTTGTCTTTCTGGAAAACCTTTATCAACTAAATAATATTTACCTATTTATGCACATAAAAATAATATGTTACAATATTTATTTTTCATGTACTTAGTATAAAAACAAATTAACTACCTGGTGGTGGTTTTGGAAAATTGAGACTTGGGTTATTGATTGCATCGAGAAAAATGCGAGCATCATGTGCTGTCCCCTCCCATCCAGTCAAAACATATGTGAATAATAAATTAAAATCACATGCTGCCAAGACATTTGTTGTTGGTATCCCTTTCCTGCCTCTATAACGCATTTGATCTTCCTCTCTGACAGTTATTGCAATATGGGTTCCATCAATCGCTCCAATGCAATCCTAATGTTAAAATACCACTGAAAATATTATACCAGTAGTTTAATGAACTAAAAGGAATAACCATAGTATCAAGTTACCTTAAAATGTGGCATATATCTAGTATCATTGACAATTTGTGTTGGAACCTCTTTGAACTCGGGGTCTTTAGGTTTAAGCATGTCCCTTGAAAATGCTACCATGATATTCAATACCTCTTTGAAGATTCTACTCACAGTCTCACCCGAATGTTGAAAACGTTCTTGAGTATCTCGATTAGAAGAACCCTTACTCAGAACATACACAAACAAGCCAAGTTTCTCTAGAGCTGACATCCTACTTGAAGCTAGTAATCCATACTTTGTTTCCAAATCTATACATAATTGACGAAATGTACTCGGATTCATTCTGAATGCATTAAAACACCGTTTTTCATGACCATACAATAGTTCATCCATCCATCTTTGTCCGGTTAAGTAAGATGTCATACAACGCTCTTTGTATATGTGATTCATAAAGTACACATACATATAGCTGGTTGTACAAGCTATCAAATCCCAAAATTCATCATCGTCATCCAAATACTTTTTTATTAGGATAAGTTTCTGAATGATTATATAAGTATCATCCATGCCTACAAAAATACAAGTACTAATAATGTAAGCCAATAATAATTAATAAATGGTTACACGAAATGTTAATAATATAGCAGAATCATAATGTCAATGCATTAAATCAAAACATGCCAAACATATATAATAAACTAAACAAGTTGCTGAAATATGGAAATCCATAGAATCTAAGCTCATAAAGAAGTGTCTAGATTAATAAAGTTGCGAAAATATGGCAATCCATAACATAAGTTCATAACTAAGTTTAAAAGAGATAAAAGTACTAATGGAAACATAATGACGCCTTTTTAAATCTTCTTCTGCTCAGCATACACAAATTTGATGTACTCAACTCTCATCTTGTCATTTGGTAACCCTAAGAGAATGCATCTTTTTTGTGGATCCTCAATCATCGTGCAAGCAAAATAAAATTCAGGTGAGCTTGGATCTAAATCCGGCAAAGCACATAATTTTGCTAGTGCTTCAATAATTTCTCCATGCTTTGGTGCGACCATTGAGTCCATGACGTTCATCATTGACATATGCACTCCCTTAGATGTATCATTCCTTTCTCCAATGAGTTGCATCATATTATCAAGTTTGTCACCCAATGATTTAGTTTTACCTGCTCTCTTTGTGGTTTCAACCCGTGCACTCTTATTAGATTGTGGTGCATCATTCACCGCAACTCTCTTGTTGCTCCTTCTTTCATCTGTTTCCATTTGTGTACCAATAGGAGAGAAAGGAGGGGGGCTATCGTCTCTCCATACATCATCCCATGCTTCACGAGTGTTGAGGTTAATTCCTTCAACCCTTGGACCCAACACGTAAGCCCAAAGATTTCGAGTGGAGTGAGTGTATGGATATCTAGCCCAACAACTATTAGATGGATCAGGAAACAGAGGAGATAGCAGGCAATGTAAATAGGTATTATTAACTTCGTAATAACTCCCCTAAGTACAATCTACTTGCTAAAAAGGCACGTCGGCCGTTCGTCTTACAAGGCAGTTAGAAATGCTACCAGTAAGAATGCTGAAGCTAGTATGCTAAGAATAGAAAGTTGCCAACCCTTTACAATGAAATAAATGCTTCTATTTATACCCACCAATGGGCAGGTGGCTGTACTGACGTGGCAGCCTGTGGACCGCTGGTGCCCCAACTACCAAATCTTTAGCATTAAATGCACTTCCCGCCAGAATCTAGGTTTCCCGCCTGATCAGTGGGGACGTTCGTCCACCCGGGAAGTGAGTTGGATCGCTCCAAGTGACCCTCGAGAGACACCGGCTGTTCGTCTCCTGGCCTTAATGGATATTCACCGTGTGGACTGGGTTTCCTCCGATGACTACAGGCTTGCTCTGGAGACGTTCGTCGCCATCCCTGGTGGCCCGTGGTCCTGCTCCTTGTTCTTGCATAGACGTTCGTCGGGATGAGCTGCTGGGCCTGAGCACCCAACACCAGACGTTCGTCCATCCTCAAGGAACATGGGCCAGTGGGCTGGCCTAGTGTTCCAACTGGACGTGCGTCTGGCCAGGTGGGGTTAGTGGGCCGGACCTCGGCTTGGGCCCTTAACCCAACACAAGTCCCCCACTTCTGATGTTCTGAGCTTGCGCAGGACATAAGGAAGTACGCAGGACATAGGAAGTAGGAACTCCCCCAAAGTAGACGTTCGTGTCATGATACTTGTGTTTACTGCACCCGGTGGAAGCGTACGCTCGTGGTCATGGTGCTTGACAGCTGTCGACGGTTCAGGAAACGAGGTGACGGCTGATGTTGCGGCGGTGCATTTTCCCGAGGAAGTGTCATCATTACGCTTCCATCCCACGCACGGCGCGTGAGCCGGGCCACACTCCTTGCCACGTGTCAACCCCTCGTTGGCCCCTTAATCGGTGCTTCCCCTATAAATGCCGGGTTTCCCCCCTGAATTAGGGTTCCCAATTTCTGCTCCCTTGCCTTAAAATCTCCGCTGTTCTTCGAGTTCTCTGCTTGGCTTCTGAGTTCAGCCAGCCTCTTTGTAAGGTAATTTTCCTCCTCTGCTTCTTTTCTTTGTTCTGACTCCTAGCCGAAATGACTTCGATGGAGATTTCGTCAAGTTCTGATTCCGGTTCATCGGGTTCCTCTTCGGACTCCTCTTCTGATAATGTGAATGCGCGCTCTCCGGGAAAGACCAGCGTTTCTGGGACTTCTGGTTCGGCAACGACGGTAGGGACCATCCGGGCTGATGGTGAGCCGGATGACGCTTCCCAAGGCAGTGGGAGCGGTGCCGGGGGTGGAAATGCCGACGGGGCAGTAGATGTTATCGACGCAGTCCCCTTGAATGAGCGCCCCGCTGATTATGATTCTGGGGAGGAGGCCGAATCAGGCTCCGACATGGAGGTGCATGACCTGGGCATCCCTACGGACATGGAGCGCCACATCTGTCCGATCAGAAGCGCCCTCGACCATGATCAAGTCCTCTCCCGCGTGGCCCTTAACAAAATCCGCACCTTCTTCCCCCCGCTGTTCGTCTGGAGCGTAAGAGGCGCCGAGCACGTGATGAGGAGACGTCCGGGGATGATCATGCTTCACTTGGACTCTGTTGAAGCCGGGCTGCGGTTTCCACTTCACGCATTTTATGTGGAGTTCTTCCACTGCTTCCAAGTGGCCCCGGCGCAATTCATGCCAAATTCTTATAGGTTCATATCGGCCTTCTTGGTGCGCTGCAAGCTTGCGGGAGTCACTGCCACTTTGGACCTATTCCATTATTTCTACCGCATTACTCCCCAGAACTCTGACGGGTATCTGAGCGTGGCCGCACGTCCCGGAAGACGGCTGTTCAGGAACTACCCTTCGTCTATCCACGACTGGAAGAACCGCTTCTTCTTCCTCAGATACGATGGGCCTCCCCTCCCAATTCGGTGGAATGGCTATCCCCCAAAGATTGATTCACCGGAGCCGACCGATGATCTGCTTTGGGACGTTGAGAAGGTGTTGGAGGGCGGCGTTTGTCCCATAGCCGGATACCTGACCTTCGAGGCACTCTCCGGGGCAGGCATAGGTACCGCCCGTGTCCCTGGACTCTTTCCACCCTTCGACGCTCGTCTCGGGGCACCGGGCGGTCCTGTCCTTCGAGGTGAGTGTCCTATGACTTTCTCTGTTCGTATTTTAAACCTTTACTGTTTCCTGCAGGTACTCCACCAGATAGGGCTCAGATGAATCACGCTGAGTGTTTGAAAACAAGGAAGGCCAAGGCGGCTGCTGCTAAAGCCGCAATGGCGAAAGCCAAGAATGCCCCCGCCTCTGATTCCAACTCCTCGGCTTCTGATGCTGCCCGACGAACTGTTGAGGGTGAGCAGCACTTAATTGCCACTATGCTGGCTCAGGGTTCTGGGGCCCCTGCTCTCGAAGCTGCCCTTCCACCGCCGGTCGTCCCCTCGAAGGCGGCTCCTCATAAGGGGACAGAGAAGGTCCCCGAGAAGAAGCAGAAGAGGGGCCGTGAGGCAGTCTACACCGGGCCTCTGCTCGAAGACGCCGGCTCCCTGCCTTTGAGCCGTCCGGCGGAAGACCTTTGGAGGGAGATGGCCCTCAAGGCCGGTCTTGAGTTGCCCCACCGTTCGTCGTCTGAGGCGACCAGTGCCGCCTTGGCAGCCGCTCTTCAGGTAACCCCTTATTACCAGATCTTAATATAACCTTCCCTTGGCGCTCATCCTCTGACCATTGTTTTTTCCTTTTCTCCTCCAGTCTGGGCTTCTGGTCCTTCAGGCTGAAGCTGCTAGGGAGGCCGACCTGAAAGAGGTTAAGGCCAAGGCTGAGGCAGCCGTTGCTGCAGCTCGAGAGGCCGCCCGTCGAGCCGAGGCGGAGTCTGCGGCCAAGGAGAAGGAGATCGCCGCCCTGCGGGCAGAATCCCGCCAGCAGCTGGTTAGCCTTGAGAAAGCTGGCTTCAAGCTTGTCCCGGTGCACCCTGTTGCAAAGGATGCCCGTCCGGAGTGGCTGGTTGATACCTCCGGCTACCGGAACACTGAGGAGTTTATGGACTCCGCCAAGGACTACTGCGCCGGGGCCTTCGGCGACGTGTTCTCTGCGGCGCTGGCAAAGATTCCGCCCCGGCAACGTCTGGCATGCGGCGTCC